TACATTTGTGCAAATAGGTCCTCGAGACACCATTCTGCGGCCCCGGCGAATCCTTGCTGAGCTTTTGTCCCTCATGTGACGGACATTGTCTGAGCAGGACACCATGCTTAACCACAATTCACTAAAAACACGAAGGCAAGAAAGGTGGCCGGCTTCAAACCTGCTTCCTTCTTATATTCCAATTTGGTCCACTTATGCATCTCATGTTTTGGTGGAATGTTCTATGCTTTACCTTTAAATTTGCTCATAAGTTAAGTTAAGTGGCTGTTGATGACATGTGAAGTGGCTACATATGAAGTGTGAAATGATTGATCCTGCAATCTTACCGCTTGTGATTGCGTCCCATTGCACACGTGCTGTGTGAGTGCATTACTCTTGAAATGAGTGTGATGTAAGAGTCAAAACCAAATTTTAGCCTAATCAAACCTCCTCCTTTTGCTCAGTGGTACTTTTCGTTTCCCCCCTCCCCCCTTCTCTCTTTCTCTAAACCTATCAAACAGCCACAAGTAGCTTCAACTTAACTTCCTACACTCATTCTTTCTATTCAGGTTGTTGGCTGTTTTGTTGATTTATATCGCCTCTAATCTTTCGTTCACTGGTACAGTCTCCATAGCAAGCTAAGCGTTTGGCATTATACCAATCTATCTGGTGCCCTGTGTGAACCTTGTGTTCAGCCAATTCAGACTTTTGAACCTACTTACCCTTGAAGGTGGTTTTGTATTCGTACAACCTCTTATGTGTAAGTCTAAAGACCTCTCTCACATGGGCACTACCAGATTAACGCAAAATCTTGTAACAGCCTAATCTTGAGAGCGGGTCAGAGTTTTATCGAAAAAAAGGCAATACCGAGGACAGTGTTATTTTCTCTTTATAAATGGTCCTGATGTCTCACCTCCTCAGCAATTCGCCTATCTTCGACAGATTACACGATGGCAGCATAAGGATCCTGGTAGAGTGATATACCTTTTTATCTAGCCCCAAATATGTATTTCCCTTCATTTTATTCGACATCATTCCAAAATAGTTGTCAAAAAGCCCTCCTAAATAATTATTTTTAACCAGGATTTTCCTTGGTCTTCTCAATTACTGGTCCCGATGTTTAATATCTGCCAGATGCAGGTTCCTTGGTATCATAGACTATATGACTCCTACTTAAATCCCAAAAGTGTGGTTGGAGAAGAAATGCAAAAGGAAACCGGCATCTCGCCTTAATCTGGTCTCCTCTTTGCTAATTTTGACATCAAGAAAAGGTGAACCACCTTCCTTTTCTAACTCGATGGTCAATTTCGTCTCCCATCAATCCTGTTGATCAAACCAAAAAATTCTCTAAGTTTTCTTTTACATGTTGTCAAATGGCAAAGTAGTCATCTATATAGCGAACTAATAATTTAGGAACTAAAAGTGCCCCCTGAATTAAGCGTTCCTCAAATTGAGTCGGTTAATTATTTGCTACAATCCAATAGCTAAACCTCGTGTTTGTCCGTACGGTTTACCATTAAAGGTAAAATATGTACAGTACATCGCTAGGTCGCTCAGTATCATTTTAGACCCTTTTCTTAACTCTCTGCTCATTAAACTCTCCGCATGTTGGGCTAGTGTGGATTGCAGGGCCTGTATGGCATCATCTACAGGAATGTTAGTGCACACAAATTCAACACCAAAACTTACCAGTAACTCCCTACTTTCTATCTCCTGCTCGTCGACTAATTTAATTAATTCATAGGAATTATTGAATGAAACCTTCCACGTCTCGGAGATTTGCTTTAACTGCTTACAAATAAATCGTGATGTTTTATGCACCACGTTTCCATTATTATTCACAATAATTCTAAGTGACGCTCCATCTTTACGTATTTTGGGCAAACCATATGCATTCGGAGGCATAGCATCTCGTTGAAGAAGTGTGCTCATCTTCCACTTCTCCAGTCCCCCGTTTGCTGCACAATGCTGCAGACAGTCCCTGAGTCTCGAAATAAGGGTTTCTGTAGGTAGTGTCTTCCAAAGCTTGAATCATTTTTTCTACATAGCTCAACCTAGCCACATCTGCCACTGCTCCTGATTTGTCTGGCCTCACCAACGTTTTGTTCTCATAATGAAGTTTCCTTATGCTGAATTTCACTCTCTTATTCATGGGTGTTATTTTTCCATGGCTATCAATTAAAGGAACTACCTGTAATTCAATATCACTCCTAGTCTCTTCTGGAAGATGGTCGGTAAAACTTATGATTTCCACCAGGATATCCTCCCTATTATCCGTATTGTCTGGCAAAGCAAAATTTAAACATTTCGAGAGCCCTTCCTCGATGATAACGTCCAACGATGTTTCGGAGAGGTTCATCACTTTCTCTCTCTATTTTCCCTCATAGAAGTATTTTTATTAGTCTTTGTCCCGATTCTTATACCCAAATTCCTAAGTTTCTTAAAATTTATGTATATAACCTGTTTAAAAAATATATCATACAACCTGTTCGCAGTCCTTAATAAGTTAGAGAAATCTTCCGAGCTAACAGTACTCGCCACTGATTAGCGTTATGTGGTATTCTACCTTATTAAGGAGTGTAGTTTTATAATATTTTCTTGGGTCATAATATGAATAGGGGTCGCAGGGAGGACCTATTTACACAAACCTACAATCACAGCTCCAATGCATTCCCTCCACAGCTTCCGCTGGAACCAACTTACGAATCCCTTCCACTCGCCTCCTTAAACGAAATCAAAGGTACTCCAACATCAATTTGTCATGCTTTTGTCCTTTCACGGAGGAACTACTAGTCGATAGGCATGGTAGTCCACCTGGTACGACTGTGTATGAGGTTAACACCTGCCATGCTTCCACAATTATCTCAGCCTTTTTGGTTATTACAGTGTTCTGTTTCATGCATATGCTTGCCTGAGCAGGTCGGCAACCAGTTGGCGGACGAGCAGCCGAACTTGGAAGCACCTATCGTTGAGAGAATCGCACAAATGAAGACCCAATGGGACAACCTGATCCAATCCATCCACACCTCCCTTAGCCAGCTTGGCGAAGAGAACAGAGGTAAGCAATGGCCTAGGATGCCTCTAGCGCAAGGCTGACTTCGCCTGAGTTTGTACTGATTTGACATTGTAAGCAGACTTCGAAAGCCATAAAGATACCATCCATCTTGTACGCTCACAGGCAGTAGCTGCACTTCTGACGGGCCCATAAGGTCCCTCCCAGTTACGACTTCGCTCTTGTCTCATTAGCCGAACAGCGGGCCTCGAAGCATGGCCTTTTGACCCTGAAATTCACGATTCGAGACCCGTTGGAGATAAACATGAACCAATTAAACTGAATCAAAAGCGTACCAGAATATGACTGGCTTTATAGATTGCTTAGCCTAATTAATTTCAATGCCAAGTTGGAAGTTTTTTCTTTCTCTTCTGGGTAGCATTGCTATAAACAAACCGTATGTCACAAAAAAAATTGTGCATTATTGCATTAAATCAGATTTTAGATTCCATCTTTTATATCTAACCTTACGTCTTTAGTATAAATATACATAATTAAATTTTTAAATATTTGCTTATTTTTATTCCTATTTTATATTTGTTTATATATATATATATATTATATATATATATATACAGATGCATTTTTACTAGATACACGTTGTATTATTTTGTAGCCAAACATATAATCAAAAGCTATAGTCAGGAAGAAGATTGTAAAGAGTGATATTTCGGCTCCCCACGACGGATAGAAATGACGCCCTATTTTCATTAGGTAACTTTACCCCTCATGCTTCTAGGGTGGACTGTA